ATAATGTCCTTGATGTCATTCCACAACCTGTCTGGTCTTTGGTCATTAGTGTTCAACACACCAAATCTATTCTTGAGATGGTCTCTAAGTTCAGATGATATATACTCAAAGTCATACTTTGGCGCTCATGGACTTGTTTTAATTTTCTTTAACTTCAGCTTGAACTTGCGTATGAGCAGTTGATGGTCTGTTCCACAGTCGGCCCCAGGCCTTGTTCTGACTGATGATATTGAGCTTTTCCATCGTCTGTTTCCACATATGCAGTTGATAGATTCCTGTGTATTCCATCTGGTGAGGTCCACGTGTATATTTGCCATTTTTTGTTGTTGTTAAAAAAAGATATTTCCAATGAGCAGGTCATTGGTCTTGCAAAATTCTATCATGTGATCTTCTGCATGGTTTCTATCACCAAGGCCATATTTTCCAACTACTGATCCTTTTTCTTCGTTTCCAACTTTCACATCCAATCACCAGTAATTATCAATACATCCTGACTGCATGATCGACCAATTTCAGACTGCAGAAGTTGGTAAAAATCTTCAGTTTCTTCATCTTTGGCCTTAGTAGTTGGTGCATACATTTGGAATAATAGTCGTATTAACTAGTCTTCCTTGTAGGCATATAGATATTATCCTATCACTGACAATGTTGTACTTCAAGATAGATCTTGAAATGTTCTTTCTGACGATGAATGCAGTGCCATTTCTCTTCCAGTTGTCATTCCCAGCATAGTAGACCATATGATTGTCTGATTCAAAATGGCCAATACCAGTCCATTTCAGGGCACTAATGCCTAGGATATCGATATTTATGTGTTTCATTTCATTTTTGAGGATTTCCAATTTTCCTAGATTCATACTTTGTACATTCCATGTTCTGATTATTAATGGATATTTTCAGCTGTTTCTTCTCATTTTGAGTCATGCCAGATCAGCAAATGAAGGTCTCAAAAGCTTGACTCCATCCACATCATTAAGGTTGACTCTTCTTTGAGGAGGCAGCTCTTCCCCAGTTGTCTTTTGAGTGCTTTCCAACCTGAGGGCTCGTCTTCTGGCACTATATCAGACAGTGTTCTGCTGCTATTCATAAGGTTTTCACTGGCGAATTCTTTTCAGAAGTAGACTGCCAGGTCCTTCTTCCTGGTCTGTCTTAGTCTAGAAGCTCAGCTGAAACCTGTCTGCAATGGGTGACCCTGCTGGTATTTGAATACCGGTGGCATAGTTTCCAGCATCACAGCAACATGCAAGCCTCCCATAGTAGGACAAACTGACAGTTGCATGTGGAGGCTGGCAGGTCCCAAATCCGGAGGTCTGGTGTAGGCTTCTCCTGACTCATGTGGCCACTGGGGCTGACGAACCCAAATCTGCAGGCCATAGGACCGACTGCTGACTCACAAGGGTGTGGAAGCTGGTGAATTATGTTAGATGATAGACTGCTGGCCCACAGGGCTGCAGGAGCTGGAGAATCCCAGAATCGGCAGGTCAGATGTCAGTCTGCCAGCTCAAGGCCCAAGAAATGGAGGTCAGACAATGACTCAAGATCCATATGCACAGAGAGAGAGAGAGTCCCACCAGGACACCCACGTGTATACCTTGGATGCAAGCCACAGCCCAGGGCAGGGCGTAATTTGAGTAAGGGTGGAACTTGAGTTACTTCCTCTCGCAAGGCTGTGACTCAAAATACACCCCACACTAATCCTACCTCATTAACATATAAAACCCATTGCCATCGAGTCGATTCTGACTTATAGTGACCCTATAGGACAGAGTTGAACTGCCCCGTAGAGTTTCCAAGGAGCGCCTGGTAGATTCGAACTGCAGACCTTTTGGTTCACAGCTGTAGCACTTAACCACTACACCACCAGGGTTTCCCATTAACATATAGAGGCTAGGATTTACAACACGTATAATGGAGGATAATTAGGATAATTACATCAGATCACAAAATGGAGGGCAACCATACAATCATGGGAATCAAGCTGACAGATAACTCCAACCATCCCAGGTTCTATATACCTTATTTGTATAGTCCCACTCAGTCATTGTGTGTGAGTCACAAAGACCATGGCTAGAAGGGTCATATTAAGTAATTCATTGCACCGCAGGACTTTTTTGTCTTTCTCCCCACTTTTCCTCACCTCTTGATTATGTAGATAAATTTAGCCTCTCTGGCTTTCTTTAGTCCTGACACTTCTACTACCCAGATTCTGCTGTAGAATATTCCTGTGGGAGTAGACACAGCAAGGGTGGCATGAGGGAGTGCCAGGGAAGGGAGAAGACCTCAAACACTCATCATTTGCTATCTTTTATTTTATTACTTTCAGATTTTTTTTAATGATTGTCAACAAAAACTAAAACACAAAATCTTGCTTTTTCTTGAAGCCTATGGCTATAGGCTTTGTCTGAACTGTTAAGCTCAGAGTTGAATTCAGAGCTCTCCTGATCTTTACTCTTGGCTGCTCATTCCATAGTTATTTATTTACATAGAAAAAACAGTTCAAAGTAATTTACTTTGATGCTGTTTAAGGCTTTTTTGTAAATGCACCATCTTTCAAATAACAGCTTTATGGAGATATAATTCATCTACCATAAAATTCACCTTTTTAAAGTGTACAATTGTGTGATTTTTTAGTATAGTCGCAGAGTTGTGCAATCATCATCACTATCTAATCTCCCAACATTTCCATCACTATAGAAGAAAACCTCGTACCCATTAGTAGTCTCTCCCCACCTCCCTCTACCCCTGGCCCCTGACTACTACTAAGTTATTTTCTGTTTCTGTAGGCTTACCTTTTCTGGACCTTCCATATAAATGGAATCATACAGTGTGTTGTCTTTTTTGACTAATTTCTTTCACTTAGTATAATCCATGTTCATCCATGTGGTAGCATAAATCGGTACTTCATTCCTTTTTATGGCTGAATAATATTCCATTTTATCCACAGACCACATTTTGTTTATACATTCATCAATTGATGGACATTTTGTTGTTTCTGCTTTTTGGCTATTATGTATCTTACTGCTATGAGCATTTATGTATAGGTTTTTATTGTTTTTTAATTGTGGTAAAAATATATATAACACAACATTTGCCAATTCAACATTTTTTGCATGTACAATTCGGTGACACTGATTACGTCTATCATGTTGTGCAACCATCACCAGTGTCCTTTGCCAAAATTTCCATCACCATTAAGAGATAACCAATGTTTTCTAAACAACGACTCCTCCTTTTTCCCTCCCTCCTATCGCTAATAACCACTAATAAACTTTGGTCTCTACATATTTGCCTGTTCTTTCATATAAGTGGATTAATACAATATTTGTCCCTTTGTGATTGATTTACTTCCTCAGCATAATGTTTTCAATGTTCATCCATGTCATAGCATGTATCAGGACTTCATTTCTCTTTATGGCCAAGTAATACTCCATTATATGTATATATCATATTTTGTGTATTCATTCATCTGTTGATAGAACATTTAGTTTGTTTCCATTTTTTGGCTATTGTGAATAATGCTGCAATGAATATTGGTGTACTTGTGTATAGATTTTTATATGGACATTAGTTTCAATTTTCTTGAGTATATACCCAGGAATGAATTACTGGGTCATATGGTAACTCTAAGAGCCTCGGTGGAGAAGTGGTTAAAGCGATCAACTGCTAACCAAAAGGTCAGTGGTTCAAAACCACCAGCAGGTCCGCTGGAGAAAGACGTGGCAGTCTGCTTCCGTAGAGATTTATAGCCATGGAAACCCGATGGGGTCACTATGAGTCAGAATTGACTTGATGGCAGTGAATTTTTTTTTTTTATGGTAATTCTATAACATTTTGAAAACTGGCAAACTGTTTTCCACGGTGACTGTACCATTTTCCATTCCCACCAGCAATGTGTGATGGTTACAATTTCTCCACATCCTTGCCAACACTTTTTATTGTCTGTCTTTTTGATTATAGCCATCCTAGTGGATATGAAATGGTAGCTCATCCGTATTTATTTTTAGCTGTCATGTTTTAAAACTTTATGTCTAATTATGTGAAACTACTTCAAATGAAACTACCTCAAATCCTTTTTGTAAGCAGATCTAGTATAATCTTAAATAATATGCTAATAAATAAAATGTGCCTCACAATCCAAGATATTCTGTATTTTGGCTTTAAGATGCTGGGACAGCTTCTTAGAGGGGGCTGCTACCCTTCCCCCTTGCTTGCAGTGGAAGTCTGTTGCCACCCCTCACCTTATGTACTCATTGTAAAGTAGTGAAGACGTGAAAGTCTGACATATCTCTTCTGAAAGATTGCTAGTCTAGATTTCCTTGACTGCTGTGAGGAAGATTTGCTGAGGGTATTTTAGGCGGGGGTGTGCTTGTAGTCTACAGGAGAGGAGACATTTGCTCTTCCTAATGTTTATGCAGGAGTCCCTGGATGGTGCAAACACTAACACGCTTGTCTTCTAATGGAAGGGTTGGCAGTTTGAGTCTACCCAGAGGTGCCTTGGAAGAAAGCCCCGGTGATCTACTTCTAAAAAATCAGCCATTGAAAACCCTATGGAACACAGTTGTACTCTGACACCTATGGGGTTTCCATGAGTCAGAATCAATTCCATGACAACTGGTTACTGGTTAATGTTTATGCACCAGGGCAGACTCATTGGTGGAGAAAAAAAGGGCAAGTTGCTTGTGCTTATGGAGCTCATGAGAGTGTGCGTATGTATCAGCAGACTTCATTTTATTATCCAATGCTGGAATCATGCTATCTACCATGTTATGTCATTGATTGACTGAATCATGATACTCCAGTGTGTTGTTTATAAAGATTGCTGTCTTAAAACATGTTTGTCCATCACAACAAAAAGAGGCTTAGCAAAATCTTGTAATTGTTGGGGACAAGTTCCATTCTTTATTCATAAAAGAGTGAATTCCATTGACTTCTGATTTATCTTGTTTATACAATTTTCCTACATCAATATGTAAGAAATTAGCATTTTCTTGGCTTTTTAGATTAAAACCTTGGAACAGACCAAAACCATTGAAGACCTAAATAAATCCAGAGACCAATTGGAAAAGATGAAGGAGAAGGCTGAGAAAAAGCTCATGTCAGTCAAGTCAGAGCTTGACACCACAAAACACGAGGCGGAGGAGCATGAAGAGAGGGCCAGGAACATGACAGAAGTGGTAACCAGTGAAATGAAGACCCTAAAAAAATCTCTGGAAGAGGCAGAAAAGAGAGAAAAGCAGGTGGGTGTAAATCTGGTGGCGAAACCGTCTTGTTTAGGACATGGCAGGACGCTTCGAAAGTGTGATAGCTATTTCTACGTTTCTGTAAAAACTGTTTACAAAGTTTTCTGTAACATCTCAACAGATCTACCCATCCCCCAATATCTTTATGGCATTGCAAATAACCATTATGATTTACTCTGCTGAGGAAAAGAATTCATATTCCACGTCATGAGCTGTGAGAAAGAAAACAAGACATTCTCATCAGAGCACTGGAAAGCCTGTGAAAAGCCAGGGTCTGGCTGTGGCGAGGTTTTTGTTACGTTTGGTGGTTGTCTCTGAAGCTTGCCTCATCCCAGATCTTCTAACGCTAACCAGGGCTTCAGGTTCGAGAGGGGAGCCTGATCTTAAGCCGAGATCTCTTGCAGGAAACAGTCCCAAATCTCAAACAGTGGCCCGCAGACTTGATGGCCGGCCAGCCAGTCGCAGATGTAAGCCATAAAACAGCACTCATTCTCTGGCTGGTCACAAGTCGGAGCATTTTATCTGGGGAGTACATCAGGAGGTCAGGCCCATAAAGAACTGTTCGGGCAGCCTGACCCCGTGTTTTTGGCTTTCATCTCTCTCTCTTTCTGAAGCTCAAAGGGTGTAGAGTGGACTCTGATCCTAGGATTTTTTTCCTCCTTGGCTGCCTCTGCCTTGGCTCATGTGTCAGGCAGAGTTGGGCAAAGCCACACTGTCAGAGCGAGTGTGCTCAGAAAGAAGGCCTCTAGGAATTAAGAGCTTTGGCCATAGTCAAAAGGGAGGTAAGTTAGAGGGAAACTTTTTCATCAGTGAATCAAGGCTGTAGAGAGTGTGATAGTTCCCAAATTATACTCTGCATGGAAGGAGCTGGGACGTTAAAGCAAATGAGCCAGGGTGGGAGGGTTTGGATGGCAGTTTTCCTGGACAGCTTCAGATTGTGTCATCTTTTCTAAAATGGAAGGTACCTTAGAAGGGTATTGCCAGATAACCCTCCTTTATCTGCTTCTGCTTTAGCCTAGAATCAAATCATAGAAACCAGCCTATGAGAATTCAAAGAGGTTTGAGGTATATTTCAACCACTGTCCTCAGCCCTCGTTTTTCCTTTTTTAATGGACAAATACTGTTGTTAGCTACTGTCTAGTTAGCCTCCAACTCCTGGCAACCCCATGCACAAAAGGGGGTTTCATTGCCAGATTTTTGGAAGTGGATCACCAGGCCTTTCTTCCTAGTCCATCTTAGTCTGGTAGCTCTGCTGAAGCCTGTTCAGCATCATAGCAGCACACAAACCTCCAGCCCCAGAGTAATCCAGTGTTATAGGTTGTGACTTGACTTGAGGATTTAGAAGCTCTCCTGTCTTCATCAGCTTATACTTTCTCGCCATTTGTTCTTCCATTAGTTGAAGAGGTTCATTGTTAGAATTCCAATGCATGGAGCTTGTCATCCACTGGCACTGCTGCTGTTTGTGTAGGATGTCCTTGTGTGCAGAGCACACGTATAGTCTTCATGTCATTTAATCTGAATCTTACAGCCCTGTGAGACACAGAAATGGTTATTCCCACCCTGGATGAGAAAATGGAGTCTTAGTGAGGTCAGAGTTTCATTCATAGTTGCTGAATGAACCATGATTCTTGACTTGGTAGCCAATACCACATTAATTGGATCATCAGAAAAGTGGTTATGAAATCACTGAAGACTGAAACCTGAAGAGACTTCAGAGATAATTTAGTGGCAAGGAAGTGAGAAAACAAATGCTAAAGAAGGTAGGTGATTTGCCTACTTGAGTCCTTGGATGGTGAAGTGCTTGGCTACTAAACAAAAGGTTGGTAGTTTGAATCCACTCAGAGGTGCCTTGGAAGAAAGCCCTGACGATTTTCTTTTGAAAGATCATAGCCATTGAAAACTCTATGGAGCACGGTTCTACTCTGACACGTGGGGTCACCATGAGTCAAATGACTCCATGGAAACTGATTGCTTAATTTGCCTACCTTATGCAAACCTGCGTTTTCCACAGGTTTTTTGTTTTTGTTGTTGTATTTGGCCCAGCAGTAGTTGATACCTTTCATTCTTCCAGGTAACATACTTGTGCTTGATTTTGCAGCTGGTGGACTTCAGGCAAGTAATTTCCCAGATGCTGGGCTTGAATGTGACCAGTCTTGCGCTTCCTGATTATGAAATCATCAAGTGCCTTGAAAGACTGATCCACTCACATCAGCACCACTTTGTCACCTGCGCCTGCCTCAAAGATGTGACCACCGGGAGAGACAGGCACCCGCAAGACCTCTTAAAACCTCTTCAATGAACACCACATCTCTTGAGGGAGGTGGAGCTAAGAGATGGGACACAACTCACAATTTCACAAATTTCTCCTTGAGTTTTGTTCAGTGTGTGAACATTATATACTTTCACGATATAGTGAGAATACATTATTGGCCAAAAAAAAAAAAAAAAAAAAAAAGATTCCCAAAGGTGCCAGCTTTATATAAACGTTCAGCACTAAAAACAGCTATTATTTCATTTGCTAGCACGTTGGGACCCAGAATAATTTCACTAGATTATTCTAGATAATTCCACAATATTTCAATTGGAAAACCAGGGTAGGGAATTTAACATTTATGAGGCATCTATTATGAGTCAGGGGCTTTACTACCCAATTTAGTTCCCGTCACAACCATGTGGAGAAGCTTTAGTGTTTTTTATTTTACAAACTCTATGGGGCTCAGGGAGCCCTGGTGATAACGGTGGTTAAGAGCTCGGCTGCTGACCAAAAGGTTGGCAATTCGAATCTACCAGCTGCTCCTTGGAAACCCTATGGGGCAGTTCTACTCTGTCCTGTAGGGTCACTATGAGTCAGAATCAACTTGATGGCAGTGGATATGGGTTATGGGGCTCAGAGAGGGTGTTACCTATCCCAGGTTGCAGCTCGTTGGCGAGAACCAGATATATAACATGTCTACTCTGTGTCAAAGGCCATGCTTTTTTTACTACTCTATAGTCTTACAGTTTCTCCCGAATCCCTGAGATTCTGATGGAAATTTCTTGCATAAAGGAAGGAAAACATCCCTATAATCAAGAATTTAAGTCCAAAAGTGACTGAGATCTATGAGTATAACATACATGATTTCTTGAAAAAGCAATAAACCAGTTGCCGTCGAGTTGATTTTGATTCATGGCAACCCATGTGTGTCAGAATAGAACTGTGCTCCATACGGTTTTCAATGACTGATTTTTTTGGAAGCAGATCACCAGGCCTTTCTTCTGAAGTGCCTCTGGGTGAACTTGAACCTCCAACCTTTCAATTAGCGGCCAAGTGAGTTAACCATTGCACCAGTCACATAAACCTAGAGTCCTATAAGAAACTTACCTGTAAGAAATTTTAAATATTTAATCAGATTGCATCCAGTGATAATTTTTAATGTTTGAACAGAGCTGATCTCAGCACTTTTAAAATTATACTTTTTTTTTTTCCCC